GTTTCACCACGGCCTTTTATAATAGAATCGCAACAAATCAATGTTGCAAAAAAATATATAAGAAGAATTAACTCACTGGCGGTCGCATTTCAAATTGCACGATGAAAAAGATGCGCGAAACATCGTCCTTTCCAAATTGCGTCCTTCATGCAAGAGGCGAAAATATCTTGCAACTAGACGAGTTAGACCAAATCAAGAACTTTCCACAATAATATTTTCGTTTGCGGTTTATCAATAATGGGTACATTTCGCCCCGACTAATCAAAGATAAGGTAGAGGTGCAATTTTTGGGTAAGTTTTTTAGCAATGACGTGTTGCAAGTTTTTCTTTACCAAATCAGATGAGTCATCACAATTTTTACGGGAACCAGTTGCTAAATACTAGTTTCATGCGAATATTTGTTCTACGATTAGTCATTAAGGAATAGTTTGATCATATATGTACTTAATTTGAAACAGACAAAGATATCTAGTCAGAAAAAGGACAAAGGAACTTATAAACCAACTTTTTAGATGTGTTAATCGAGAAACAATTTTATTTTAACTTTCCGTCGTTTATCTTAGTATTATCTACATACCGTGATTTTACCTATGCTTATGGTCTTGTACGACAGGTTAAAAAGAGAAAAGCAAGACTTCTCTAAAACAGCCAAATCAGTACCAAATAAGGTAACAGGACAAATCAGCACGATCATATGATAAAAGTGACTAATCTCGGTGAAGAAATCCACTCAATGTCGTGCCCAGGGTCATATCGGTTGCTTGTCGGCGGTATTGCTTAACGTTCTCCCAAAAGCGAATAGAAAAATTTGGCGTGTTTAAGAAAATAAATTCTAAAAAAGGGTTCCCATTTACTTATTCTATAAAAATATCCGCTGGCAAGTGTAGAAAATCCTTTACAAGGTCTTGTTGTCTGTTTGTTTTTGAAGAACAATACAGAATATTTTCAGTTGCACCTAGCGAGCACGGACTAGAAAAGTATTAAAAAAATATATCACTCGATGCTGTTCTGCCTGATAAAATGTGTATTGACGGAAGTTTCTTCAACTTTAGGAAATCAATGATTTCCTTTTCTCTGAAAAACCGAAACGGATACCTTGCTTCCTAATTGGTATATCAGAATAAACCTTGCGCCAGATAAATTAATTATCATGTTCCCTTGTTCCGTTGTTAATCAGCCTGGTTGTTAATGATTAGGAGACCATAACCTCCTAGCTTTAACCGGTCACCATCATGAAGTTATCAATTGCGCTAAATATAGACTATTGAGTTGAAATGGTATTGTAGGGGTTGATTTTCTGTAGTTTAAACATTAAGTTGGGGAGTGCTACTTTTTTTTATCGATGAAACTTCTCGGCTGTTTGTGACATTGGTGTAAACAAGAACTGACGTCGTATTGTAAACACGTTCACTATACCCAATACTTGGCAATTTTCAGTGGGACTCGTTTATCCAGTATTCTCACAAATTTATACCTAATGGTCTCTACAGGCGTGCAAAGAAGAAGCCGCAGAGGCTGCCTCGCCTCCAAAGAAATCGAGGCCAGGAAGAATCATCAAAGTTCCTCGCCGCTTCTCTAAGGGAGCCGAGGAGAGTCAGATGTGAAGAAGAAGCCTCGCAGGATATTTGTATGCTATTCTCATGTTATTTGTACTCAGCGGAGTTAGATAATAACCTGCGTTATTATCCAACGGCACAAAGTAGAGTACAAATAACGCGCCAATAGATTTCAAATATTCTGCGATATTGTACGGTTATTTGGCCAGTTGGTTATTTTATAATGTCAAAAAAAACCTGTTTAACCAGTCGGCTGCGCGCGCTGTGCTTCCCCATCCGCTTTGCTTATCCTGCTTTTCCCGCCTTATGGGAAATGAAGAGAAAATAAAAGTAGTTGGATAATAAATAACGTCAAAAACGTCTAGGAAGATATTTTAATTTGTGCTCGATTCGCGCATTTTTTGAACTTTATTTTGTGCAGTACGGTTATTTGAACAGATGGTTATTTTGTGCTGTAATCCGACGTAAACGTCACGCAAGACCTGTCAGACCTATCCCAAACCGCCTCTCTTTTAGCTCAATTTTCCCGCAATGAACGTAAAATAAAGCAGTTTGATAATGAATAACGTATTAGACTATATGTGGTTTTTCAGTATCACGGAGTACTTTTACATGTATGTATATATCTATTACGTAACATATTGACAGTTATTACATAATTGGTGACCATGTTACGTGACATTCTGAGATCGGGAAAACAGTGATACCCTTGCTTACCTGAAATTGATTTACATTAAACGCTATAATAAATGCTTCAATCCCTCGTTAAGGAGGTTTCGTTTGAGCCTGACTGTCTGACTCGGTTAGATGATAGTTTGTTTGAGAAAAATCCGAAGGTTTGTGAGCTGCGACTTTTCTCCTCGAGCTCCTTGGAGGATCTTGTCAGGAAAAGCAAGATCACGGGAACTCTGGCGGAAACTGAGGACATGTATTCAGTTGCGCATCGCTCCTTAAGCGACCCATTTGTACCTACTCATCGTCGCAGAGGAAAGGGTTCAGTTTCGAGCCGACTATAAATGCTGGTTCGTTCTCATTGAAGCAAAGAAGCAACGTAGGTGTTAAATCACTTCACGATAATACTTAATGCTCAAGCACTCCATTTCGATCTCCTGCAGCCTGGTAGTAGCTGTTGTAGCGCTCTTTCTGTACTACCAAGGCAAGAAAAAAGCTAGAAGTAGACTTAAGACACGTCAAAAAACTGAAAAGGCTTTATTGAGTTATTGGTGATTTATAGCTCATATTTCTAAATTTTGAGACCGCACGATGTCCGTTTCACAAGAAACTTGCGCATGGAGAAAAGTTAATCGGTAGATTTTACTACTTATTTCGCGGTTACTCAAACTAAAACTTACATTGCCTTTATATCAAAAATGTCCAAATCCTTTTCTGATAAAAAGTGGCGAAAAATCGATAATCTCTCTTCAAAATCAGTATTTTGGACGTCAAAACAACCTTTCGCCGTACATTTCTTTCCAGCGAGTTCCAGTATTTGCCCCGTGGCGATCCCAGAAATCTTTTCGCAAATACAAGGATCCGATGACTTGCAACTCATTTATTCACTTAACTCCACAGAGTCACTTTGTAGCACTGTGAGTATTCCCTACGTGAACTAAATGTTGCACGGTTCGATTTCAGTAGTATAAAAAATCAATGGATAATGGTACAGCTGTATTTTTCTGGATAGAGAAAGTTAAGAGAAACAACACAAGGGCCGTTTATAGAAGGAAAATAATCCGCGGTTATTGCATAACTAATCCTAGCTTGGTCACTCGCGTTTTCCCTTGCTTCAAACAGGCTGTGAACGATAAAAATACATTTCCTTTGTTACAAGTAAAATCTAAAGCGTGCAAAGTATAAAAGATGTAGAAAATCCCCTATTCTAATGCTAAATTATGTTTAAAGACTAATCAATTTACATAGGTGCTCATAGAACGGACCGTATTGATCTTGGATTTTTCAGAGGATTTCCTTCTAAGGTTCAGTAATGGGTAGATTTGATTCTAGATAGAAAGGGCTGGAGTGAATGATTTACAGTGTTCGATACTTTCTTAAAAATGTTACAGTCTTGTGTTTTCAGAGGGTTGTGAAGATTGATATGTTTAGAACAGAACTGACGTTTAAAACAGCGATCAAGGAAGCTTTGTTAAGTGGAGAGGTCAGATTCCGAGGCACCATAAACGTAGAGAAAATTTGGCAGAACCAGAGTTTTGAATAGATGATTAATTTCGGATTCATTGTAACCTTCTTTGCGCAAAGTTCTTAAGATATATAGGTATTTGTTCGCTTATATCACCTTGTCCTTCACATGACGATTAAATTTACTGTTGCTCTGAAATGTCACCCAACAATTATCATCTGTGTGCACCTTGCAATTCTTGCTTTAGGTGGGAAACACTCCTTGGATCCTTTCTTGGGAATAGTGAGCTCTTTACATTGATTGGATCGCGTAACATTTCATTGCGTTCTGCCCAGTCAAAGAATTGTGTTATTAATTCGCCAGAGCAGTCTCCGGTTTTCCACACCGGAGCAACTATACTCGAGTCATCAGTATACTTGTACAGCCCGTTCAAGTAATCCAGGAAGATTTCAAGGTCATTTAGAAAAACATTAAAAGACATGGCCCACTTTGAGTTCTTATTGGTTAATGGTGATGTTAAATTTTGTTCTAATTGGCAGTTTCGATTACTTTGGTTTTCGTTTTTCGACACTCGTTGAGAACTGCTCAATTCTCAAACTCGACCAAAAATGCCATTGAGTTTGAATTCAGAAACAGTCTAAGCTAAGATGAAAGTTTAAGATTTTCCGTTCTAGCAAACAGTAAATTACCATCGCCAAGTATTTAATTCGTTACTGGAGCAAATTGTGGTACCCAGAGCAGCATGTTTTCATTTTAACAAGAAAAGTATTGTGAGACGAAGTACTTTAATAATTAGGGGCACCACAGAAAAGAAGTAAAATGTAACTGGTGTCAGGAGTGAAAAATGTTTATTCCAATAATCAGCTCATTGTACTGTAGTCTTGCACTGTGATCACGTTCAAAGCGTGTTAAAAGCGTTTCCAGAGGTCCACATGTACACCAAAAAGGCAATTATCTAAAAACGTTGCTATCCTATATGATACTTGTCTCTCTGCAAAGAATAAGTCGCTTTAAATGTCTTTTTTTAAAATCGCTTAAAATATTTTTCAGATTTATCAAAGATTGAAATCCGATTCTCAGACAAAGTGCAACACCACAATAATCGTAATAAGATAACAACCATGAAATGATCAATGAAGTAAAATGACACACTAATAAAAATTGAACACTGAAAGAATAATAATATAAAGCATAATACTAATAATAATGATAACAAAACTAGTGATACTAATAAAAATAATAATAATAATAATAATAATAATAATAATAACAACAACAATAATAATAATAATTAAGATAATTTATTTGATCAGCACATCTGGGCTTTGAGCTTCCGAGACCAACATGGTTATCGCTTGTTTGACACCAGCAATCCCTATAAATACTCCAACCGTTATCCTTTTTGCAATCCTTTTAAATACTCAACCCTGTATCTTTTTTCCTATCGCTCTATTACCATCTCTTTGGTGTTCATTTATCCTCGAAAAATTTTTATTTTCGGTTTCATTACTGTATGAAAACAACCAGCATCTTAAGAACGACTCAAAAGATGGCGAAGGGCCACTTTAAAATCTCATCATCAACACATATTCCTCATCATAACAAAGAGTAAATCAATATCAACACTTAACCAGTGATCACCACCATCATGAGACTTCTTTCTTCATACACCAGCCCAATTACTCTTTCATGCGTACGAAAATAGGCCATTTTGGCCTCATTTTCAAGTGAAAATCCTATTTTAAACATGCCGAGATGACTAGGAAGACTAACTACATACTTAAAAAAGAATAGGAAAGGAGAAAGTTATCATTAGTATCTGAATATGCATATGAAAGCTAAACTATTTCTACGCAGTTTGGGAGTCTGCAAAATTCCTCTGTAGCAACAGAAAACACTGTCAGTGGTTGCGATGTAACCTGTGTAGAGAACCTTTTGTGCAGTTTTCATTTTCTGTTTATCAACGCGACCCTTTTCCTTCTTCTTTATTATTATTCTTTTGGTATTTTTGTGCATAAATTTTTCATTATGTCAAGGTAAGCATCACACAAACGACAAACCTTAAAACCCAAGCCCAAAACCTTGTCCTGGCACATATGTACCACACCAGCCGTCATATTTTACTACAACCTTCTCTCACATGCTGAAAAAAAATCGAAATATAATAATTATTCGCCCACAACTGGAGGAGAGGAATTTCCAATTGAGTGTCGAAAGTAATCAAGGATTTATTTGGTTTTACTGAAACTTGCTCTGTGATTGATCCAAAAAAATCGCAACATCCTCTCAACCAATCAGATGCAAAACTAAAAACAATTGCGACTCGGTCAATTTGCGTTTTCCCGCGCTTTAAGCAGTTTGCTTATTTCCACTTTGAGTTCTCATTGGCTACTTATAAAGTAAACCTTTGCTCTGACGGGTCGATGAAATAACTTTGGTTTTGGTTTTCGATACTCAAATGAAAAATTCTCTGAAGCAGTCCATTGATAAAATTCACCTGTACAGTATGCGCTGTAAAGCAAGCTTTCGAGCAAGCACCCAGCACTCTGTGTTATTTTAAGAAATTTTCTTCCATACTCCACCTTCTAAGTTACGATACGGACCGAGATTAAATATATATTGTTTATGTTTTGTCTTGTCTGAGCACCAGTCATTACGGTTCCTCTCATAAGAGCACTTGACGCAAATAAACTGCAGGGTGTCACCCAGACGAGAGTGTGCAAATGTACAGCCAGCCGGAGCTTTTCCCTCTACATGGCGCCAGCACTCCTCGGATTTATCTGATCCCCTGACGGCTACCCCATGGCGCATGCGCCCTTCTTTATCCCAGTATACCGGTTTGAAAGCCACCCTTTTTGCAGACTGAATATGTTTCCCATCAATTGGTTTCCATCCTTTTTTGGGGTTTTTGCTCTTCATAGCTTCCTTGTATTCGTTCGATTCTGGTAAACTATCTAAATATCCCTGCAGGGTTTGTGGTCCCACACTCTGTACACTTGATGGAAGCCTTGATGTTCCGCTCTCCAAAGATATGTCATCACATTTGGCAAAGCGACTGGTGTCGAGTTTTTCAGACGGCACTGGTCTTGCTGTGGTTTGGGTTGGACGGACTTGAGAGTGACTGGTATAAGTTGAAGGTGTTCTCTGACTCGACTGCATATAATAAGAGGTCTGCTCAGTGACTGAACCATAATTATGCTGGCTGTCTTGACTAAGGTCTGCTGCCTCTGTAAAGACATCGAGAATAATTTAAGTTTGAAAACTGTGTTGATAGTACAGTTAGATTAACAAGCATGTACGGTGATGTTAGGGGAAAAGTTATGGTGGTGATACTAGATAAATGATAAAATAATACAAAAAAGGTTGTGAATACGTAACCTGCTGAGTAGATACGTAGTAGAATCATAGCCACCATCTCTTAATTTTCAGCAGCGGAAGGCTGGGGAAAGCAAGCTACTTGATAAAAGGCGCAAGAGACAAGCGATAGTCGAAAGGAAGGAGAGAGGAGGTGATGGAACAAAAGAAATAGGGTAAAAGAAATTAATCTTCTCACCTTTCACCACCCCCTCCCCCACAGTCCACTCAAACTCTACATCGGATAAACGATCGCGAGCTTTATTGTATACGCAGAGGTAAAGGCACGTAAGAAATACGCTGGGTACTCGCTCACCAAACGAACTCGCCACAATAGGACGGCTGCTCGCTCAGCAAGCTATCATATACGAGACCAAGTCTGAATTGATCCTGGTCCTGGCTTAAAGTCACTCACCAGTATTAAGAGCTGAAGCATACGAATGTTGAGACTCTAACTCCATAGTTTCTACGTCTTTCAACGACTGCTCAATAGCCAGGTCTTCTCTCTCATCAACAATATCCTTACGCTCAGAGACATTGGCTGTCACTCTCTGATATTGTCCCATATCTTGAGAAGGTACAGGAGACGGTGCAGATGGTACCATCATATGATTGACATCATTCATATTTTGATTATAAATAACTGTAGACGCCTCACTCCCGATACCGTCCGGGATAATACCTCCTGGAGCATTAGCTGTGGTTGCCTGCAGGAAGCCTCCATACATATTAAATTGATCTTGGTACTGACTTAAGTTGGACCACAGCTGTGCAGCAGTATAAGGGTCCAAGGACTGTGTACCATACGAAGAAGGGACCTGAGCAGAGGTGAGGGAGCCACTTTGTGCCTCCGTCAGTTTTAAATTAAACTCGCCACTAGCCAGAGCAGCATAATGATTAATAAGCTCTTGTTGCGTGTTAAGCTCTGCCATATTGTTAAGTAATTTGTTATACTCAGCAGCACTAATTAACATATCTTCAGTTTGTATGCTCGCGTCCACAGTAACTGTGGAGGTCTGTGAGTAATTCTCAGCAGTTGAAACTTTATCTTTCCTCCTTACTGTTTCTAAAAAGACAAAAAGGAGTCATAGTTAAGAGTACGTAATAATATTTTATTCTGAAAGTTTTTCATGTACTGCACATAATGCAGAACGATATGAACAGGGAACACTTGAAAGAAGGAAATAATGAAGGGGAAAATCTTAGTCATGGTTGAGCAGATATATGAAGATTCACATATTTGCACTGCGGTGGAAAGATGAAATTAGGAGATCCTCGCAGCTAAGAACACTACTGAAACGAGTAGTTGTAAATAGGACCTGAAAAAAATTTCAGGCCCGTACGGGATTTGAACCCATGACCTCTGCGATACCGGTGCAGCGCTCTACCAATTGAGCTAACAAGCCAACTGGGAGCTGGTAAATGAATTGGGTCCAAATAAACATCCAAGTGAATGAAGATTTTAGATATATGAAAATTCACGATTCTCGTTGTGTTTTTGGCTGAGGTTGAATATCAGCACAAAAAGTACCAAAACCATATTTCTTTCTTCTCATAACTTTCAGATTGACAATGTACTGTTAGAGAAATTTTTATGAGTGTCAAGAGTGATCTGTGATAACTTCAATTTAGGTTTACTTTGCTCTGTTATTGGTCTAGAAAACTTGCACCACTCTCTCAACCATTCAGATGTAAAACTATAACCAATCATTACTAGGTCATCTGTGTTTTCCCGCTCTTTAGGCAGTTTGGTTGTTTTCACTTTAAGAGGTCACTGGCTCATAAAAGTATCTTCATATCTTCTGATTGGCCATAATGCAATGAAGATACAATGATTGTGAAAATTAAGATGCAATGATTGTGATTACTTTGTTTTTTTTTTAATGACACTCAATAAAAAGTTCCCCTGTTGTAAATTACTTATCAATCACTCCTTGAAGTGAAAGTGTTAAACCTCTCAGCTTTCCATGCAGCATATGGTCTCCCTCAGCCTCTTTATATGGGTAATAACATGATTTTGAGTGCAATTTGGTGAAAATAAGCACAAGTAATTTTTTTGCAAAGACAACAAAATTGCACAAGCCCTTATGGCGAATGCAATTTGTAGACTTTGAAAAATTTACCAGTGCTTATTTCACCTAATTGCCAGAGAAAACAGGTCATCACTTGTTTATAATGTACATGAGAAAACATCACAGAAAGTCAAGACAGACAAAACTTTGAAAGCATGCCCACTTTTTTTAAACTTGCTCTCATGTTACAACTTTGCACTTGTTGTACACAAGAATGCACTTGTTTGTAGCCAATCAGAAGCGTGTAATTTTGTATGTACATTATTACTCAAATAAAAAATACCTGTTATGTGCTGTTTTAGGTAAAGTTGTAGTAACTAAGTGTGTCATAATCAGTTTAAATCTATCTTGATTTTATTCACCTTGACTGGAATAACGTTTCCTCCAGGACTTCATGATTGGAATACAGCGTCCAAGAGGAATACCTATCTCCTGCAAACAGACACAATGTCCTTTAATTGCTAGGATCTGATTGTTAATTCTACCCTCTAGCGACTACACATTTCCTTGTAAATTAGTTGCAAGAATTGATGACAACTTCTTCCCAACACATTTGAGTACTCCAATGCTGGATAGTGGAGGGGCATTGTAAGGAGAGGTTAAATGTGAATCACTTCAGGGATTTAAAGGGTTAACGCAGGACTGGTAATAATTCAACATGAAATTGATTCACAAAATCTGTTACTACTAGTCACACATTAAGCACTCACAACAACACAAAACTGGAAAATGGCTGTGAACAAATTTCTTTGATGAAGCTGTACAATATTAATTATCAGAAATTATCACAATGGTAAAATGATATAAAAGTAGTACACTAAAAATGGCAAGATTAGCACTTGGTTTTGGCCAGCTATGGATTTTCATTTACAGCTCTGCATGTATTCAAACTCTCTATGACAATAGATTAATGTTGATCAAATTCGAACTCATCAAATTGATCAAACCTTATTTCTAACCATGACATTTGCATATACAGTGGGATAGTCAACTTGGCACATTACTGACACTGAATATTAACCCTTTGCCACACATAAACTGTTTAGCATAAATGAGTGACCAAGATAGAATTTCTCCTTCAATATCAAAACAATATAAAGCTATAAAATGAACTGTAAACTGTTTAGCACAAATGAGTGACCAAGACAGAATTTCTCCTTACAAAATCAATACAATATTAAGCTGTCAAATGAATTGAGAATAAAGAAAAATATCAATACGGGGATTAGCAGTTGATCCAAAACAAATCCTCTAAACTCATTTCTTAAATATTGTGTGGTAAACAGTAAGGAAAATTACTAATGAGATCCTGGGAGTGGAAGAGTTAACTGTACATGCATATTGCAGTAATGCCAGTGCGGCCTAGTAACCCATGAAGCATGACACACAACTGCAAGATTCGCGACCATAGGTATAGCCAATGTAGAAACCAATCCCCCTCCTAGCCTCAGTCCCTGCGGCTAACCTTTTCAGTTTGACTTTCATGCAGATCATGCAAATAAAAGGTGTGAGATTGAGTTAAAATGTAATCATTAGTAAGTTCCTATGCCAGACATCTCCCAAAATTATCAGGTAAATTGCCATTTTATTGAGTGTTTCGTATTCCTATGTGATTAGTATTTCTCATGTTATTCATATATTCTATGTTATTTCCAATCTTGTAATCAGTTCTCTCTCTCCCCTTCCTTGATATATTATGTTTTTAACACTTTATTTAGAAGCCACTGGCAATGATGTGTAAGTAGAGGAATTTGATTGAGTTGTCAAGACATAAACTCCTCTTAAATTTATTGCTGGTATGTTGGTTATAGCTAAGTTAGGAATGAGGAAAAGAAAACATGTACTTTGGATGAACCATACAGAATTGTATTATAATGCATATAAATAATTAATCAATAAGGCCAATCATTTTTTGTCTACAGCGCATTAAAAGTCACTTATGGTAACCAACAAATTTTATATTGGGGGGTGATTTCAAGAAACATTGGATTGCAGAGTTCAAAGCTGGAACACTATTAAGAGAGAAATAAAACATCTGAAAACAATTTGTAGTTAATATTTTTGACAGTGTTTCAACATTGCTTCACATCATGATCAAGTCAAGAGTAAACAATTAAAAAGATCAGCCTTACCCTCAGTAATTGCTTGAGCTCATCTTCTGTTTCAACATAACGTAAAGTTTGGTCCTTTGGAAGAAAAATGTATTACAATTGTAAAGCTGCACAGAGTAACCTACACACACATGCACATGTACACTGCATACATGTAGGTAGAACCTTAGAACATCATGTATTAGATTATACTTATCTATTAATGTGTAAACATTAAATGTAGCTCTTGTCTAAAGCAATGGCATATTTCCTAAGTGGCTCTGTAACTGCAAGCAAGAAGGTTTAGTCACTGTGTGTATATGCAGTTATTAAATACCTGAATACAGTGTTCCTGGAAAGTTTCCTTTAAGTCGGCCATTCCTAGGCTATCAAGAACTTTAAAGACTTCATGGTATGACTCGGCATTTTCCATAGAGTTTCTGTTAAAAGGAGTATTGGAGTGCATGACCTATAACCAGTAAAGAAATGGGATAGCAATGTCTATTAGTGATACAAAACACATTTAAATTTTCCTAACCCTTAAACTCCCAGTGTGTAAGTGATTAACATGTAACTTCTCCCCTATAACATCCACACATTATCCAGCAAACAGGTCACAAGAATACTCAAACTCATCAGGCAGAAGTTGCTATCTTGGCCTAACACAAAATTCTCACACCTAATTTACAACAAAATGTGTAGCAGTCAGAGGGGAAATCCATAATCAGTTCTAAGAAGTTGAAGGGCTAATAATACAATGTTCAAATTTTAACTTCTCTATTCCATGATTTGATGAAATTTTTCAGCCTGGAATAAATTTTTCACTAAAATGTAAGCCCTCTGGTGAAAAAGGAAACCTAAAAAACCTTAAAGACACAAGATACATTCTGTTTCTTTTTGTTTTTGTCTTTCTTTAGAAGCAATTTTTTTTATTGTAGTACTTTTTTATGACACACAACCTTATTTACCAGCTAGGTACCAAATTGTTTCTCCTCAGCTAATGGTCTGACTAATTTCCCATTCACACCAACAAAACATGTTTAGCAGAACCAGGTTTCATGGAATGAAAATCAAAAATAGAGAGTAAAGAGAAATACTGAGGTCCAAGAACCATGACCTGAAAACTATCCAGAACACTTTCCAGGTGCAGCAGTAGATATCAACCTCACTGATAAGCTTGTCTTTTCTGATAAGCTGTTTGTAAGATAATAGGTTTGAGGGGGGTCCAATTGAGTCTTTAACCCTTTAACTCCCAGATCAAATTTGTAATTCTTCTTACTGTCTTATAATGTTACTTCAGAGAATTTAGTATTGGATCAACTAGTTAAACCCAAATTGATATTTTTCTGTATTCTCATCACTTCTCTGGTTGATATTGTGTTGATATTGTAAGGAGAAATTCTGTCTTGATCACTAACAGGAGTCAAAGGGTTAATCTGATTGACAAAATTGGACGACCATGAAGTGGGAGTCCAGTTAATTAATTATGAGTTTCATTACAAACAGAATTGGATGACATCAAGTCTGGTTACCAATTAATCAATACTATGACAAAATTCCGCGAAATTAACTCGCATATGATCATCCTTTCCCTTAGAAACAACAATTTATTTGGTAAAATGCACCACAAGAGCTTGCAAACATGACAGGTTTTGTCCAATTACACAGCTGTAACATTTACACTGTCTAATTGTAGGCATGATGGATACACTGTGCTTAATCAGGTTAATGATAACCAATCATATTAAAAAATGTTGTCATAATTTTGATTACACTTTAGAATCACAAGGATAACTCATATATTTATCTGTGTAGGAGTAAAGAGGCACTTAAAGATATCTAGACAGGATGTTTATTAGCTAACAGAGATTGAATCTAATTCTGTTCCAACTACACAAAATTTTTGGTCTAATTCAAATGTCCTGGACTGTTTTTTAAATTTTTTTTTTAAATTCATGGAGCTGAAGTTTGTGAATGGTACAATGTATTATTTTTCTGTCAATTCACACTATCCTCCTCTTATTCGATTTCTTCATAAAAACCCTACAATTATAACAAAATAACAACAATTCACAAATAAAGTCGACTCATGTTCAGATCATGAACAAAATTACCGAATCAGTGACAGAATAATCATTTCCATGTTTCATGTTTGGGCTTGTTTAGTAACCAGCATTAAACTAATTTAGTTTACAATTTACTGGTTCAAAAACTTCATACGATTGCTATGGGTTCTCTTTTAATTCAAACTTAGCTACCCATGAAAATTTCCACTTAAAAATGAATTACATATGTCAGCGTTATTCCCTGAAAACAGATGTTTACTCAGATTTAACACGATTGCAATATGCCAATATTCCGTCTATGGTAGCTTGAACTGACTTAACGGTATGTGAACTAAAACAACCCATCTTTACGGATTTGAGATCTAGCTTTGATTTTTTAGTTTATTTACAGCATATGATAATTAACATATCTTTATTAACGAATATCTTGCAAACCAGAAGCAAAGTAGCTAACGATAAAAAGGCTTGTTTGTCTTAAAGCAAAGCCCCTCAGATTTTACTACGACAGCCTAATAAATATTCTTTACTTCGTTCCATAAAATATATTTAAAGCCCTTACCGGGCCCCTTTTGCTTTTGGAGACTCTTTAGGTCACACAATTCTCAAAAGAAACTGCATAACTGGCGCTAAAACTACTTCCTGTATCTAAATACACGATTAATCAAACGATCGGAATCAAATACGCCAAAGAAACTTTTTCCGTGGCAGTAGCTGAAGTTGTAATTCTAAAGGAACAACTAAATTATGCGTTCTCTCACCGTTCTTCGATGATAGCCCCTCGCTTCTGTAATAATATTTCGATCTTGAAAATTAGGTTCAGTTACCAAGGAGGAATACCGAAAACAGTCACTCTGCTCTGAAAGCGCATTCTTTCACTAAGGCACGCCGCCATATTCCAAAACTGCCTGAGGAGGGACTGGTTTCCCCGCAAACCGCTGACATTTACACAGTCGGCTACCAATCGAGGACTGTTCCTTAAACTGTTTAGGGGAAGGGGAAGAGGGGGGGAGATAGTAGAGCATTGTTTAGGAAAATTTTAAGGTGAGCGGTAACGGTGAGACAATCTGAAGGGAGGAGATACCTACACGCTTCCGTTCACCTGAAAAACACTCCAAAAAATTAGCCCTTAATTAATAAATTGATAAAATTAATGTTCGAAAACCTGCTAAAAGTCTAAATTCATAACAATGGGATATACCTGCTTGTGCATAAATCTCAATTAATTGCAATATTGAAAAAAAGGGAAAAAGAAACGGAAAGAAAGACAAGATAACACTGGGACCTTTATAGATCTAATTATTGTTTTCTAAGGGTGTGAACCAGTAAGTTAGTCTCGATTCCATTTACTCGACCTATCAAGTTATAACCTCTCCAAAGTTTATTAATTTATCCATTTTTGCCAAACTTATTGTGAAGTTAATGTAGAACTTCCCACTCTAAATGTGATTTTATCCAAGCTTAATTAAACAACTCCTTTGATTAGTTCCTCAGTAATTATTTATCGCAGGACAGACGCATGGATGACGTCACCATTGTCAAACTTTTAAACCTACACGACAATAAAATCAATAGACTCAATTTTACCCTGACTCTGTTCAGTAGAAGGTCACAGAAGAAGTCAAAATGCGTAAGAACATTTGTGACGCGCTTAGCTGTACTCCATCTTTTTGTTCTTAACCCGTTTTGATGTAGGTTTATTCCTTCAAACAAAAAAGGTGCTATTGCTGACCCTTCCTATCTTCGTTAAATATGCATTTCTAAAATAAGCTGAATGAGATTCAATAATACATACATTTACTTACATTTATAGAGTGTGATGTCTCTATTTCGATCTATTCAACTACTATAAAGTGGTTTAACGATATACACAAATTAAACGTGAGTCCTTCGGCAAAGCAGATTTTATTCCATCGAATTATTTTGTAAGTGGCTGTAATAATCGTATTGCAGTGTAAGTAGTTTAAAGCAACATAAGTTATTGTATTGTACTGTAAGTAATGTAAGCATCTGTATTGTTAATAGCGTAAGTGATCGTATTATATCGAAAGTAGTGTAAGTCTTAATATTGTAAGGTGGATTTGATCATAATTAAAAAAAGACAATCATATCAAGCTGAATGATACACATATTTTGATTGGCTCTTACTTATGATCTATTGGAGGGGAGATGCAGATATGACGTCACCATTAACAACATTGTGCTTTTTTATCATATGAAACAAATTTATTCTATGCTGTCGTGATTCCGTACAGTAATAGATCACAGAAGAGGTCCAAATGTTGTAAAAACATGAGTAACACACTCGGCTACGCGCACCCCGTGTACCATTTTGTAGTTCTTACCACATTTTGAGGTCATCTGGGATCTGTTACTGAACAGTCGCATGACAATAAGGAATCTATTTCTTATACAGAGCTTTGGAGTAAGAAGAATACATTTCGATAGATAGACAGATAGATAGATAGATAGATAGAAAAGCAGACAGACAGACAAACAAAAAGATAGATAGATAGATTGATAGATAGATTGATAAATAGATTGATAAATAGATTGATAGACAGATTGATAGATAGATTGATAGATAGATTGATAGATAGATTGATAGATAGATAGAAAGGCAGACAGACAGACAGACAAACAGAAAGATAGATAGATAGATAGATAGATTGATTGCTGGTTAGATAGATAGTTAAAGAGATAGATAGATTGATTGATAGACAGATAGGTAGATAAATAGATAGATAGACAGATGAATAAATAGATAGATAGATGGATAAATAGATAGATAGATCAATAGGTACGTAGATGGATAGATTGATTGTTTGATCGATAAATTGATAGATAGATCCATAAAAAGATAGATAGATAGATAGGTAGATGAGTAGATAGATAAATATATAGATAGACAGATAGATAGATAGTTAGATAGATAAGTAAATAGATAGATTGATAAATAGACAGATAGAGCAATAGATAGATTGATTGACTAATAGATAGATAAATTGATAGATAGATAGTTAGATATTTAGATAGATAGATAGATAAATATATATATATAGATAGATAGTTAGCTAGATAAATAAACAGATATATTGATAAATAGATAGATAGATCAATAGACAGATAGTTATATAGATAGATTGATTGATTGATAGATCGATAGATCGATAGATAGATAGATAGTCAGAGAGATAGATAGGTAGATAGTTCGATCGATAGATAGATAGATAGATAGGTAGGTAGATAGATATATAGGTAGATAGATAGATAAGTAGATAGATAGATAAGTAGATAGATAGATAAGTAGATAGATAGATAGGTAGATAGATAGATAGGTAGATAGATAGATAGGTAGATAGATAGATAGGTAGATAGATAGATAGGTAGATAGATAGGTAGATAGGTAGATAGATAGATAGGTAGATAGATGGATAGGTAGATAGATGGATAAGTAGATAGATAGATAGGTAGATAGATAGGTAGATAGATAGATAGGTAGATAGATAGGTAGATAGGTAGATAGGTAGATAGGTAGATAGGTAGATAGATGGATAGGTAGATAGATAGATAGGTAGATAGATAGATAAGTAGATAGATAGATAGGTAGATAGATAGATAAGTAGATAGATAGATAGGTAGATAGGTAGATAGATAGATAAGTAGATAGATAGATAGGTAGATAGGTAGATAGATAGATAGGTAGATAGATAGATAGGTAGGTAGATAGATAAGTAGATAGATAGATAGGTAGATAGATAGATAGATAGATAGGTAGATAGATAGATAGATAAGTAGGGTTGCTCTTTAGTTGTAAATTACGCATATTTTCTTCCTCTTCTGATGCTCAATGCCGCTTTGAAATATCCCTCTCCAGGTGGTAGGGTACCGTAAACTCTGAACGCTGCTTCATCGTACGCTCTCTTGTGCATGCCTCTCTCTTGACTCAGCACTCGATAATTTTCCAGCATTTCGTCAGTCAGATATCGGCCGCGAGGTTTTCTTTCCTTCTTTCCAGTGTTTGTTCTGCCTTCATTTTGTAATTCCAGCTTGAGTTGATGGTGTTTTTCAAGTCGATGTGTACTTGAAGAGCACTTCGCCATGTTTATTCTAGCCTTGAAACAAAAATTGAGGTATTCAATTTTTGCACCTCTCTATTGATGTGCTAAAATACGAAGAGAGCTACTTGTGAGTACGAGATGAAAAACATATAATAAGCATTCTGCTCCATAATTTAGAATTTGTTAGTCTCTATTTAGTATCTATCGTAATATTTATGTACACGAAAGTCTCAGGTATTCTTCTGCACCATTCTGAATTCTGTCACTATCAATTCTTAAGTCCTTTAGAATAAGGCGAAGAAGGTCGGGGGGTGTTACAAACACCTCATAGCTGAGAAAATATCGAAATAAAAGTCCTAGTATCCTTTATGGCACCTGGGCCAGGTTGTTCACAGCTGGATTAAGTGCAAAATCTGATTTCAGTTCTGAAAGCTTAAAAAGAAAATTCAGTCTAATTCTTTTTGTCTAGAATATAATCATTGGATGCTCCAAGGAGAATACATAAAATGATCTCAAAAAAGCTTTTGAATAATCAAGAAACCCAGGTTGAAATTTAACCTTGGGTTAGCACTAATCGGTCCTCGAACAACTATTGAATATTTCCACGAAAAAAAGACTCAAGATTGTAATACATAGAATTTTTCCGATTTTAAAGTCGAAAAGCCTAGAATCACTACATCTTTCACAGGCCACTTGGTTCATAAAAACTGAATTTATTTTAGTCTCTCCATACCTGATTGACTCCTGCGTGTCACTGGTTTTTTCGCAAGTTCTTCTCAGCTTTGTGAGGAATTCTCTTACTCCTTACTACGCTCGTTCCAAACTATATTTAAACCCATTGCTTATGACGTCAGAGGACCGTTTTGAGCTTTGCGCACGCTCTGTCGGAGGATGAAAAGACTTCATTCACGTTAAATTGAGCGATTCTCAATGTCGACGGAACTTCCGCTGATACCCGTGCACACGTCCGGTGCAAACAAGTAATGACGTCATTGGTATTGACGTCATACTTTGTTTGTCTCGGCGGAAACTAAGGAAATAATCTTGGCTGGTGTGTTTCCTTTTTCAGTTCCAGACACATGGTTCCACAAATGGCCGATTTTTAATGGGCTTTTTTTTTTTGGAAAGGGAGACACTGAAGCAGCTTTAGTTAAGATTTTAGTTCGACGATGTCTAAGAAATTTATTTTAAAACCCTGACGCATTAGGTATTGACGTCACGTTTGTTTGTCATAACATGAAAAACAACAAACTGCGTCGTTGGAAGAGTATAACAATGTAATTTGACATTATCAGCTGAGTTTTGGGCGTTACCCCTTCGTCATAATGACTTCCGTTTTGAAGCTCTTTACGGTGGCCAATTATCATTACTAACTCAGTTAATAACACTAAATTATCTTCCATCGTTTGTTATTTTCGTCCGGGGGGAGGTTGGGGGAGGCGGGGGGAGGTGTTGAGGTGATTAAAGCGAAAGGAGCATTTTGCATCCTAATAATACAAGGCATCTCTTCACTAATCCTACAAATAAACGTTTTTATTAGCAACAGCCAACCAATGACAAGACTTTCAAGTTTGGAGAGACATCTCAAACCTGTTTGTCTGGAAGTATTGCACAATAAGCGGCACGTCATTTTGCATCCTAATAATACAAGGCGTCTCCTCACTTATCCTACAAATAAACATTTCTATTAGCAACAGTCAATCAATGACAAGACTTTCAAGTTTGGAGAGACATCTCACACCCGTTCATCCGAGAGTTTTGCGCAATAAGCGGCTCGTCATTGCATCAACATGGCCTGCTTGTTTTTTCCGTTACCAAGCAGTGGTGTGCTGTTCTTCCGTTCGATTTGGTGACGATATTGCTTCAGCTCCAAGGTCCGTGGCTATAATTGGTAATAAACTCCATAAATCAGCTTATACCTGAGATGTTGCGATGAAGAAACATCATTACCTAACGCAAGGAGTCTCTTTCTTCTTGATAGAGGAAGACATGGATGCGGATGGTGGTTTTTTCATGCTTTGAATAATTAACAAAAGTTGTCTTGCTCCAAATAAAAGAACATGGTTGAATAATTTGATGCGGGTTTACCAAAACTTCAATGTTTTTTGGGATACCTAAGCAACCTGACACATACCCTAAAAGGAAAACACCCAGAGCTTATTTGCAAATACAACGAACAGCTGCTCGATCAACTCAAGAGAGGGTTTATAGAACAAGTCGTCGACCCGAACATACATCAAGGAGTCGTGCACTACATGCCCCATTTTCCAGTTTTCAAGGATAGCAGCACAACAGCTATGAGAATCGTTTACGACGCTTCAGCAAAGATATCCGCAAAGGCATTAAGCCTCAACGATTGCCTTCACACAGGTCCAAATCTCATACAAAGACTACAAAATATGTTACTCACCTTCAGATCTCACAAGATAGCCTTCACTGCAGATATCGAAAAGGCTTTCCTGCAAATAGAGCTCAACATTCAAGACAGGGATGCTACGAGATTTCTTTGGCTCAAAGATGTAGACAAACCAGCGAATAATCCAGACAATCTAGTCGTCTACAGATTCTGTCGCGTACTTTTCGGAGCCGCGCCGTCTCCATACCTACTGAATGCTACAATACAGCATCACCTCATCAAACAAGACGACTGGATATCAGAGGATTTACAACGTTCGATTTACATGGACAACGTTATTACGGGGACGGACACTGAACCTGAAGCCCTACAGTATTACACATCATCAAGAAACTGCTTCCAAAAGGCGGGTATGAATTTACGACAGTGGACCAGCAACTCTCCTGTTTTAAACCGCCAAGCTCAAGACGACGGAGTATACGCAGAGCCAATGATCAAAGTCCTAGGCCTCAATTGGAACACAAAGACAGATACTCTGTCACTTTCATTGGCAAAACTTATCAAAGAAATCAACCATACAGAAAAAGTCTCCAAAAGATCAGTACTAAGCTTATCCTCAAAACTATACGACCCCTTGGGATTTGTAGAACCAGTGACAGTAAAAGCAAAAATAATGATGCAGGAACTATGGAAACACAGCCTACCGTGGGACAAAGAACTTCCCGACAGCTTTAAGGAGAACTGGGTCAAATGGCTGAACGAACTAAAAAATCTGACCCCACTGGAAATACCCAGACAATACTTCAATGATGTTGGCAGTGAATTTCAAGTACACGTGTTTTGTGACAGCAGCCAGCTAGCATACGGAGCGGTGGCCTACCTAAGAGCAACCACCCTAAAAAGTGGGACAAAATGTACATTCATAATGTCCAAAAGTAAAGTAGCACCCATAAAACCACAAACAATGCCGCGATTAGAACTACTTGCAGCAGTACTCGGGGCAGAATTATCTAAATACCTATCAAATACCATACTTTCAAAGTTCTATACATCGCAAATTATACTGTGGAGTGACTCACAAATTGTGTTATCATGGATATCTTCATCCAAGCCGCTACGACAACAGTTTATCCGACATCGAGTGCAAATGATTAGAGAAATTACCTCGCAGAGTACGTGGAGATACTGCCCGACCACGTCCAATCCTGCAGACCTCATTACCAGGGGAATAGACGTTAAAGACTTTATATCTAAACAGCAGAGTTGGAATCAAGGACCCTCATGGCTTATAAAGCAAACACAGGAATGGCCATCTGTCAACGACAACCAGTTACAAGACAACAGAGGACATTACACGGAGACCCAATCAATAAGCATTAATCTCGCAAGCGCACAAAAGAGCGCAAATTTACTGAACGTCATCGACATCACCAAATACAGTACCTGGAACAAGACACTACGAGTTACCGCGCTCGTTATACTTTTCTCCGGGAAACTGAGAGGGAAAACAAAATCTGACACAATTACTACCACAGACATGAAACACGCTCGCATCGTTCTACTCCAATCTGTACAACAATTCTACTATAGAGACATCCTATCTAAAATCAAAGACAAAGCTAAAAGCAAACGGCCAGCAATAATACAACAACTTAGCCTCTATTTAGATGATGATGACTTGATACGATGTCGCAGAAGGCTTCAATACGCACAACTTCCACACAACACCAAGTTTCCAATATTGATGCCGAAGGAGAGTCACTTGTCAACTCTTATTGTTAGAGCAACTCACTGCATGGTTTTGCACGGCGGCGTACGTGAAACCTTAACGGAACTCAGGCAGTCCTATTGGATACCTAAAGGCAGACAGCTAGTAAAAAAGGAAATAAGGAAGTGCGTCACTTGTCAAAAAGTAGAAGGACCACCATTTCGCTCAGTTAACGCTCCTCCATTACCATATATAAGAGTCACAGGGTCCCAACCCTTTCAGGTGACGGGAATTGACTATGCCGGACCATTATACGTGCGTAATGCCCACAAAGAAGTCGGAAAAGTCTACATCTGCCTATTCACCTGTACAGCAATACGAGCAGTACATCTTGAATTAGTAGAGGATCAAACAGCCAGCGCATTTTTGAGAGCCTTCAAGAGATTTGCAAGTAGAAGAGGAATTCCAGAATGCATAATTTCGGATAACGCGAAAACGTTTAAAGCAGGTTCACAAGATCTAAAAGCCCTCAAAACACAAGTGATAGAAGCAGCCGAGTCTCAAAGGTTTCTCGCTAACCATGGCATCAAATGGAAATTTATCACAGAAAGAGCCCCCTGGTGGGGTGGCTTTTATGAGCGACTAATCGGACTAGTCAAAAGAAGGCTGAAGAAAATGATTGGAAACACGTCGCTGAATTCTATCGAATTACAGACCATACTTACAGAGATCGAAGCTACACTTAACAGTCGGCCACTTACTTATGCATATACAGACATCAACGACGGTCCACCCCTTACCCCATCCCATTTCCTCTGTGGACACAGGCTTCTGACACTGCCAGATACAGAAGAAGACTCCGACTACATCCCTCAAGATTCGGCTAAAGATCTAACTAGACGAGCGAAGTTCCACCAGAACATAATGCAAGCTTTCTGGAAACAATGGCAAAGGGAATACTTAACCGGTCTCAGGGAACAACATTCATCGCAGAAAAACAAAACCATATCAGGGGAACCAGTGACTCGAGGAAAGGTTGTTCTGATACATGACGAAACACCGCGAAATCAATGGAAACTCGGAGTCATCATTCAACTACATCAGGGGAAGGATGGGTTGGTGCGCTCTGTCACCCTAAGAACAGCAAGAGGAAACCTGATCTCAAGACCTATTGAGAAACTTTGCCCTCTTGAAGTGTTAGCCGAGGAAGATAACCTACAAGGCTCTGAAGAGAAATTCAAGAACCATAAAGAAATTAGATCGACAGGCCAAAAACGAACACAACGAGCTGCTGCTCAACGAGCTGCAATAAAAATAAATGAAATGAATCTGTCTGGACTCCCAGCGTTTCTAACGCGCGAATGTTGCTCTCGCAACTATCGTAAAATTTTCGTAGTTGCTGCACATCAGTTGAGGGCGCGCTGATTTTGGAAAGCGATTCCATATGCGCGTTGATTAGAACTTGTTTCCTTCCAAAACGTTCTTTTAGCATTTCAATGGCTTTTTCATAGTTTTGTGACGTCATTGGCAAGCCTGAAATCGCGCGCGCTGCGTTGCAAGTTATCAGTCCTTTCAAATAGTTCATTTTGTCAATGTTGTTCAGTTCGTGATTGTTGTGTACTGCGTTACTATAACTATCCCAAAACGTTAGCCATTCGAGTGGGTTTCCGTCAAATGGTTGGATATGCAGTTTTGGAAGGTTGATGTGGACTCGAGTTGCTGGTTTAGTTTGGAACGTACTCACCGGCTGGTACTCGTCGGTCACAAATTCTTTAATTTTCAGGATCCAGTAATGGATGCCGTCTTGGAATGTTAATGCGTGATCTGCCTCTTCACTAATCTCTTCGTCCATTGCTAGGGCGCTCAAGATCGCGGAATCCATGGCTTTTATTTCTTCCAATCGTCTTGAAAGTCGCTCTGCAATTGCTTTCAGTTCTGTGACGTTTGTAGCATCGGTATCAGTCAGAAGTCGCTCCGCGCGTTTGATGTCTTGGTTACAGTGTCCTTTGTATGCCCCTCTGACTGCCTTGTGGTGTTTCAGTTCCAGTTCCAGTTTCGGTTCTTCCTTGGACATTTTTACAAGGGTCTCGGCACCAGTTTCGGAGATATCAATCAGACTGAACTGTGTGTGAACTTGTGATTATTCCAGTTAGTCAATACTTCTTTCTCTCATTAGTGACGTACATAATGAACACTAATTATACGTACATAATTAGCCGTTAATGTACTGATTTCATGACACTCTTAGAGAGATTCTTCAGTTGAGTGTCAAAAGAGATCCGTGATCAATCATCGTGACTTATTAACAACGTTTTCCCGCGCCTTGAGTAGTTTATCAGTTACTCCTTTGAGTTCTCATTGACTAATGATGATTTTTACCTTTGATAGGACTGGCTGTTGTGAGTACTTTGGTTTTGGTTTGTCGTAAGTCAATTGAACACTTCTCTATCACAAAAATTTAACAGAAATAAAAAATTCTTGTACTGGAAAGCTTAGATTGAACAAGAATTTCTGAAGTGAATGAAAGTGATTTCTGAAGTCTTTCCTTATCCGCTTCTTGTGTCGCCGTTAAGCATCTTTCTATTAGCTAGGTATCACTAACTATTCAAAATTCAAAATGAATTTTTGTTACAAGTCCCCAAAATCAATTGCAAGCAAGTCTTTTCTCAAGAAAGTTCTCATTCGCACTGAACAATCCATCCAGTGGTAAGGAGAAATAGGGGTGAGGCTCTTCGGAGAGAGAGAAAGAAATATTTCAAACAATGTTATCTTTGGTGGAACCGGTTAAAAAAATTGTTGGAAAATACCTTTTTTTTGTATGGGGAATACAATTATGGCTGAATCTTTTGTGAAACTTCTTGAAAGATTCCTCTCACTCAGGCTTAGCATACCGGCTTTCTTCCTTATTTGTCGATAAAAGCTCTCGGCCAGTTTTCAGGGGAAAAGAATGCTTCAAAGTTCGTGGAAAAGTTATTTTGATAACCTTCCTTACTAGTGCTCTAGGTCCCTCTTTGTTGAGTTACATGCATACGAGAAGACTTAAAGTTTTATTTGAGGATTCTTGTAAGGGGGTCTCCATAAGGGATAGCTTTTCATCTAACACCATCTCCAACGAGAAGCTGCCCAGAAGAACGGTAAAGAACTCATCATCACTCAAGCTTAGAGAAGAAGATGGAAATGAGTCGGCTATGTCCTCCGAATGCTACTCGGCATCAGCCCTACTTAGATTCGTATTACGATAGACTCCTGACGGCCAACGAAAGAGAGGCCGCCTCGAGGAAACTTGGAGGAGAACCGTAGAAAGGGCAATGAGGGACAAGGGCTGAACATGGGGGCAGATTGACAAACGGGAAACCAACAGAAACAAATAGCCGAGGCCTCATGTGCAAAGACGTACGAAGAGTATTATCTTACTAACTAACTAATCTGTCAAATGATGTTGCAGCAATAATCCATATTTCAGAACAATTGCCATGGCTTCAGTTTCAGGTATTAATAGTGTTTTAGACTTTAAAGGGTTTTCCTTAGCAGTAATTAATTTTAACAGCCGGTACAGCTTGAACTCAAAAACACCGAGACCAAATCTAGTTATTGTGTCGTTGATACCGAGGGAATCAATGATGTGTTAGCGAAAAATATCAATGTATTTCATGTGTTTCTGGTAGGGGATGTTATACACTTATAAAGCCTGGTTCACATACAATCGCAGACGATCGCAGGTGATCGCACGATTGCTGAAACCACTCAACCGAAGATCGCGAATCGCATGTTCACATAGGGTCGCAGCCGCTCGCAGCGGTCAGGGACAACCGAGTCCGCGATTTACCATTCAGCGGCAATACAATGTAACTCCAGTCAACCAACATGGACGCCGAGGATGCTGAACTTTTATTAGGTGTTAACATTCTGTTTCTGTCTTTACTTAAACGGCGAATCGCTGTTAGATCAAAGAAGAAACGACGCTTCTGGGTGCGGAAAGTCTTTAGAGAGAGAAACTTACGGAGCTTTTCATACATTATTTAATGAGCTACGACTTTTTGATCGAGAATACTTCTACAGGTGAGTCAAAAGATAGTTGGTTACACGTTTATCAGGCTTGTTACTAAAAATTTGCGTGCATACTCTGTACATTCATAAACTTTAATATTGATATACCTTAACATTTTTTAAACAGATTCATCAGGATGGCACCGGAGCGATTTGAACATCTACTCAGTATTGTTGGTCCATACATTACTCACCACCGTAAATCTAGGAGGCCAATATTAGCAAGTGAAAGGTTATGTTTATGCCTAAGGTACTTGGCCACTGGTGAGACACAAAGCTCCTCATCCTTTTCCTTTAGAATTGGAAGATCAACCATCTCTGGCATCATAAGTGAAACATGCAGTGCAATTTAGACTGCACTGAAGTCCCATTAAGGAAAGACTGGGAGAACATTGCAAGAGAATTTGAAGAAAAATGGATTTTTTTCAAATTAGGAAAGGACTCGGGAAACAAAACTTTTTCCCACGGGACCATACATTAAGTGCTTTGCTATATATTTAGACTTTCCCTTAAACAATTATATGGCAAAAACATGCTGTTGTATTCAGCGCGCGGGCAACAACTACGGTGTATTACCTCCCTGATGCCTAGTGTGTAGCAAGTAATGAAATCCAATCTATTCACGTGACGCAATTGTATCCCGGTTGGGATACATCTGAGTTTGATCAGGGGCAGTGGCTAAGAATCAGCTAATCACAGTGCTCGTTTTGTTGAGTGAAAGTCTAGGTTTGTAACAACAACAGTTGATATTCTCTTGGTTTTTGGATTCCACCGTAAAAACTCGTTTCTTGTATCGCTCAATTGGTTTTTCTTCTACATTATGATAAATCTAAGGATTCTCGACATGAGCTCAATTTGTTTTAAGTTTTTGTTTGGTCGAACCGAGCGGGAATAGCGCAGCATGGAAAACAAGATATCAATGCAATTGGCTTTTTTTTTATGAAAATCAAAATATCATATCGAATATCAATATTTTCAAACTGCCAGTCTACGCAAACATCAGTGAAAATGACTCTAAATTAATCATATTTGGAAACCTGGAGATTGGTGTACCACTCTAAAGATTCTTTCAGATCTAGAACTGTTCGTAGCGAGCGAATGAGAATGTGAGATTAGAAAGACTTTTTAACAGTTTGGCAGTCAATATGGAGCTGCTCCTTTGACGTTTGGCGTTGGAAAATTTTCCTTTTCGGAGTTGGACGTTTAAAATTTAGGCCGTTTGACGGCTGACGGTAAACCCCATTGTGACCCTATTGCAATTTAAAACGTGTAAAGATCCACCAACGCAAATGAAAGTACGCTAGTCGCTGCAATTTCAGCAGGCATTTTTGAGAGCGTTTGCATATGATTTGTAATCTGAGGCTTCAATTGTGGCTTGTTCGTTAGTTTAACCCTTTAACTCCCATGATCTAATTAGTAATTCTCCTTACTATCTGCCATACACAATGATGTTAGTTCAGAGAATTTGGTATTGGATCAACTAATAATCCCATGATTGATATTCTTCTCTATTCTCATCACCTACTTGCTTGATATTGTATTGATATTGTTAGGAGAAATTCTGTCTTGGTCACTTGTGGGAGTGAAAGGGTTAAAAAATGGCAATGTCATAAACTCCAATGCTTTACCCGCAACGAACAAATTCGTAGCTATTTAACGCCGCCTTTAACAACAAGTTTGTTCGCGCGCCGCCATTATGGAAAATTTCCATTGCTACTGAATATGTCGAGTTCTGTAGCTTTGTTAGATATCGGAAATGACTTCTGCGCAAAAAATAAATTATGCCTTGACGCAGAGCTCTTTTCAGAGCTCATTCAGTTGATTCTCCCATCAGTTCTACCCACTGGCACATATCTACGCCTTTAAAGGGTAAAACGTCTTTCAGTAATACAAAAACAATCGTCTAAGACAAATCTTTGATGTGCTTTAACGCAACTTCTCTCAAATTGGCTACTACCAACAGTATCCGCTCCTACCCACGGTCGTTTCGTACCCAGTTGCTTCGTGCCCGAGTGCAATCGATTCGTACTTAAGTCTGATTCAGTTCGTACAGAAACCGCTGATCGTTCTTATCTATTCCAATATACATTTGTTCGAAATACCTCTCGGGCGAGCACACAAACAGATGTCAATTGCACGACAATTTAGGGTCAAGCGAGTTAGTTACAAACAAAATTCAGCTCTGTATGCTTGTGACCTTCACAAAAGCACCTTAATTATTGCCTAGTTCAAGGTGAGTGAAATATTTTTAATAGAAAAGTCTGGTGTTTATACTTGTGACTTTCTTACATACTTATGGGAAGTATTTGACAAAAAGCAGACTTAGCTGAAACAATTAGTGAAAGGAAAATAGACCCGTAACCGAATAAATAGAACACTATAACATGTCGCATAGTATATAGAAAACCAAAGACCGTACTTCAATTCAGTTCTATGATTTCTAAGGTTGTATTTTTCAATAATTTAATGTAATGCAGGCTAATTTAAGATGGAATAAAAATTATAAAATGTTTCTGGTGGAAATGTTCTTTGCGTCTGTCTTACGACTCCTCCATTTTCGGATCCAGGCCTTACACTCGGTGTATGCGCTTAAAAAATGGATACCATGTCAACAAAACTTAGTCAACGCGGTAATATTGATATTCACAGTAGGAAATCGACCTTACTTTAAACATACTTAACATGGAAAACATACTTTTTTAGATTGGGTACGAAACGACCGAGCTGGGTACGAAACGACTTTACTGTTTGGGTTCTAAACGACTCACCTTCTTGAGTGCGAAACCTCATAGTTGGCTACGAAACGACCAATAACCCTATCAATTCTCCAACGATGTCATTGACAGCAGAATACCTCAGAGTCCAAGAGATTATAGGATTATTGGGAAACTTTATCGATATCAAATTTACTAAAAAACCGCTGGATCAATTACGGATCAATTACGACAAATAAGAAGAAGCCAGTCAAAGGTCGGATTTAAGGCGTGACGAAAACGTCACACTTAAAAGTCTGGGTGTGGTAGGAAATAAGCCATGACGGGTTTCTGTTTGACGTCATCGTTTGTTTGTCAGATCCATCTTTCCGGCTTGTTTTGCTCCTAACCACGAGCGGTTTCCTTTTTACACGGTTGTTTTCGATGTAATTATTTTTCGATCAAACTCTGACAGAGGAAAGCGGGTGAGATAATCAAAAATACCGGTGCCAATTGAGCAATGAAGTCACAATTAATGACGTCATTCTTTGTTTTTTTATAGCAGAAAACAGTGAAGTAAAATAGGCGTACCGCTTTACCGATTGGCCATAGCCTTTTCCCTATCTTTACGGTGTCCATAAAACACGACGGCGTTGTCTTCAATCTGAGTTTGGCATTCGACTTTTTAGGGGTGAACAGTGTTAAAAAAAGGTCGAATCAGAAAGCTTACGATATTTGACAAATTTCTACCGGAATCTACGAGAAATCTCTGAATATAGGTACGAATCTTTATTAGTTTTTTGAGTTAACCAAAATCTGATTGAGGTTGTTTAAATTCCTTCATCGGTTTAGAAGGACTAATAATGAATGCAAGGCTGGTAATTTTTCCTAAAAGTTAAGAGAAAAGCTCTCGGTGAGATTTCAAGGTATATTGACGCAGGAAATAATGGCCCAATGAATCTAGTTCCTTCTATATCAGACTGATGTAATCACGTAATTCATTTTTATTCCCACTTAGAATGAAAATGGAACCTGTGCCTTCGATTACAGAAACAAATGTACAAATGGGTACATCCTCTTACCCAACGGAAGAAGGAATGAGCGAATTAATCAAGGCAGAGTGTTTTTCGAGACCACTGGAAAAACCAACACAGTTCAAGCCGACAGTGGAAGAAATGTGCAACATCGGGAGTCGAAGAAAAAGGAAAGAATCTCGTGTTCGAAATCTGACGGACGAAGTGGTTGAGGAATACCGCCTGCTGATAGTAGATTCAAACAGTTTGCACAGACAGTTTTACGAGGAGGCCGCTTTTAAAGTTTATGGAACTCTTCCGCCTGGAAAAGGTTCCTTTACGGCAGCGCTGAAAAACATGGCAGGAAAGAAAATTTAATTTCAAAGACATTAGTTTTAAGTCTTTTGAATATGGAAAGATATAATTCCATTGAGACAAGAGTACGCATGCAGAACAAAGTTGTGCTAAGGACTTCATTTTTGACTGATTTAGACCAAAGTAAGCTTGGTCTGAACAAATATCTTTGAGGATTCAGGGTACAACAGAGCGAGGCATTAAGGTCTCGGCATTTTTCGATGTACTATAATCTTAAGTTTCTTTATTTAAGGTCTTAGCTTTTTTGTTTCGTATAGTTAGCTGAGTTTGAATTTAATTGCTCAGAGTTACGTACTTATTAAAACGAAGAGCTCAAGGAATTCTACGTTGTAAGTAGATTTAATTTTTGCCCCGTTGTGGCGGATCCAGTGAGATTTGTAGCTGTGTGTGCATGGAGATGTTAGGATTGAATTAAGAAACATGGTTCTCTCTGTAATTATCAAGTCTAACAACTCAGCCTGTATGCTGTGTAGAGTATCATTAACAGTGATTAGCAATGATTATTTACTGGTCAAAGTAAACGAGGTCGTATAATAAAATGCATCACGATATCATCGTCTAGTTGTAACAATTAATCAGCAATCTGTTATTCAAGGCGTTATAACCGGATTAAAAAAACTATACGGCGGTATTAGAAAAGCAATTTGAAACAATTCGCTGTAGACTTCTATGCATTTCTCTGCCCTAGTTTGCTAAATCTTCATCGAATGTTTCAGTACAAGTAACGTATTATGCCATTAGCATTTCCTTTCTTTTTTTGAGACTTTTTTAAGTAAACTAGCTATCGGAAAGAGTTTCTACAACTGACGTTTCGACCGTTAACCCCTCATGAAAGCGAGGGGCTGACACTGGAAACCGGTGTAAATAACCCTTGCTGAAAGTGCGTATCTCATTATTATTACTGTCCTGTACATTTTGAAAACACCCGAAACAACCTCAGGTCCAGTTTCCATGACAACTGAGAGAGAAACAAGAGAAAATATTTTGTTTCCAGTGGGATTCATTTTCTGGCCTCTTTCGAGACCAACCCTCAATCATGATAATATTGTGAAGATCCTATCCTGTTTTTGGATGAAAAAAAAATTGCGTAAAATAAAACGTTGCAAAGATTTACTATCTACAGTCACACGATAAAAAACGAGGGGGAGTAGGTGGAGGAAGGGAGCTCGCCTTTCGTAAAATTTGCCGTTGTGTCAGTCCTTTCAGGAAGTGACGGTTTACCTTTCAAGATTCATGGAACTCAGCGAAACGTCTCTAATAAGTGTAGTGTATTGTATATATAAAAATATTGAAGATACTTTCCGTTTCCTATCTTTGTAATATTTTGTTGCTTTTGATCATAAAAAATTATCTCTTAACAGAACATTTGGGCATCTCAAAGCGTAAAAATTTGTTCCACAAACCACCAAAAAACTCGCCAGCCCCCCCAGATAAGACTCCCACAAAATTCTCATTCCTCACTTAAGCAGGAAGTTTCTTGGGGATTACCTCCAAATATGGTGTTGTTTTCGTGTATTGATGATTGAAAAAAAACACAGGTCATGACGTCAATCAATCGCACTAACAGGATGTGGTTGAGCCATATCCTGTTGTCGAGTATAAAATGGCAAAAACAGGTCAAAACAAATTATAAAAAAAGTAACCACTACTATGACAAAAACAGGCAATAACCAATCACAGTCCTCTTCTTAATCTGGTGTGGCAGAGGAGGAAAATATTCTCAGGGTGTGGTGTAATTGAAGAGCTGAGCGGATACGAAAGAGAAACAAAAAGGTCGAACGGAATAGACCTGTATTCCTTATTATTGTTCAGTTGACGTCTAATGATGTTTTTGTTTTTGGTTTTTTTTTTAATATATTCAACTGGGGAAATGAGATGTCGAGGACACACCCTTTGTTTTCTTGGGGAAAAGGCAGTTTGTTTATTTTCACGCATAACATATAAATGGCGCAGCTGTCACAAGAAGAGAAAGAGTCTTCACCCACACTGTGAAGTCCATTCATAGGTCAGGAGGCATATATAGGGTAAGGTTTTGGCTTTTAACTTGTCCTTATATTAAAACAGAAATTACTATTAGTATCGTCATTTCTACGCTGCCAATGTACGTGAATTAATCTTAGTAATCGGCAAATTGTTTATCCCTTACTCCATCCATTTACAAGTTTTATAAATCTGAACTTGGTTAATTTTTCCAAGTTTACATTTGCATTTCTCCGAGCAATTGTTGACAGCCAACTGTATATTCTAAGAGGAATTTTTTATCTTGTTTTGTGTTCTTACTAAAGAATGATAATAATAATAATAATAATAATAATAATAACAATGAAACTAACGATATTATAGTTTTGTTGCTATTATAATCATCACCATTTATTTATCCTTTAAAATTTTTTTCCATTAGTACTACCAGTAATAGTAGTAGATATGGTACATACGTTAGACATGGTGAATATGTTGATACCAAAAGAAAGTCAGTCAATTTGCCGACAACTGGTAATAGGTTATGAATTCATTTCATATATACACGCTTCATACACTAAACCCGGTGAAAACACTACAATTGCGTTATATATTTACCGACTTTTACATATCTGTGGCATATACGTATTCGATTGTTCATCTCATGATATTATTACACAGTTATTACGAAACTAAAGTAAATAGATCTAAAAAACCGTCTGTTGTGCTGCTGTTTCCTTGAAATAACATCTAACTCATCAAAATGTTTGGGCCACTAAATGTGTTTTCTATTTTCAACCCCTTAGTCCTTGCTAAGAACTTGGAGCACAACGTGTTGGACATTTCAGTAAGTGACCACTGTCAGTTATTTAAATCTAAAGCATTTTCTATTCTTAGTATTTCTTTCTATTCTTAGTTAGTTTTGTCAACATGGACCTGGCTAAACAGTTTAGTACGCCATGAGTTTCTTATACCTCAGCAGAAGAACATCCCAAGTATTTATCGGAAGGTCGAAGGCTCCAAACCCAATGAGAGCATCAGTAGTTCTTTTTCTCCGATTACGCTTGTGTAATTCAATGAATAACATCTTCCTTCGAGACATCCTCTCGAACACCATTTTTTTTTAGACTTAACATGAAGTTTTCATTTTGCGATAAAGAAGGAAAAGGAGCCACATGTATTTATTTGGTCAGAGAAGATAATAAAAGCGTCGGGACCCTAAAAAAATTCCGGAAACGGAGCGAACAATGCGATCTGTTTGAAAGATTATCAAGGAAGCTATATTCAAAGTTTATGGAACAGCTCCAATTGGGCAAACGTATTTCAAAGCAGTGAAAGAGAAACAAGTAGATTCAAAGTTTTGTTCTGACGAGAACTTTTCAAAAATGGGATTTCTCTTACTTAATTTTCAGGCCGCAGGAGGGAATATGGCAGTGGTCTAATGGCAGAATGAAACAGTGCATATAGGCACCAATTTCGGTGGAAGAAACTTGATCATCTTAGCTTTTTAAACTCACTTTTAAACCCGGTACCTTATAAATTTTCGTTATTGGTAATTCAGAATTATCTACTTAGTATGCAGTCTCCAGAGTCTGACTATTCTGTGACAACTCAATGAGCAGTTTTCCAACTAGGGAAATCTTGAAAATGTGGCGATATTTCATGATTTCTTTTGTAAGCGGTTCAAAAGTAGCAGGAGGTAAGCGTATATACATATTTTTTAATTAAAGTATAAATGGCCCTTTTTCTTGAGGAGACCCAATCATAGTACTCATAATTCTACCGACATTATCTTAGTCTACATTCAAATGACTACTTCTCACTGCAGTAATGATTGGCGTAATGATTAAATGAACGTTTTAAAAAAATTCCTCAAACATTTAAATTTATTACTCCGCTATAAATTTTCAATCATGATACTTTAAAAAGAATTGATCATTTTTACTAGTTTGACTGCTCTTAAAATTTCCAGAGTGTTAAGATCAATATCCACAATACAGAACCAAGCTCTGTGGGAATTTCCAGAAACTCTCTATAAATTATACGTTGGGAGGTTTCTACCAGTCTCTCCAATGTAGGAGGCTTGGCAGAAGCAATTGATGGTGTAAACCGCTTCCTGTTCGTCACTGTCTGACGTTTGAATAAGATTGGAAATCTGTGGTTATAAGATAATTACGATTTTGAAAAAAGAACTTCTATTTTTTTTTTACACAGTTTGGATGTTTTAAGTTGGACATGCACACACCCACACAGATAGGCCTCGTTAATTTCCTTAATATGGATGAATTTTCCAATAATAATAAAATTTTATCACGAAATTGAGGAGCCTTTTATCGCCACAAGTAGACTGCAATTCAAGCCGGCCATGCGAGAATATTATTAAATCCTGACTTGATCCTTCAAAATGTCGTTTGAGACGTTATTACCAACTGACCTTCATGTACATAGCCACAACGTGGAAGCGAAGAAATTCGCAGAATCTGATCTCAAACAGTGTACATGAGGTAAGTAATCCTTTTGACCCGTGGGTAAAATAACAAGCGATCCCCCCCTGGTAAACTGAAATCAAAATCACTAGGAAAAAAAAACACCGACAAAAATTTAGAATTCGTACTACTACCATGTGTTCCCTAAGGCACATTTGGGGAGCCTCGATGAGACAAGACAGTTTTCTTAACTCATGATCACGTCTAAAAATTGCCAAAGACTTATGCTTGTTTTAACGCCAACAATATAGTTCCCAGTGTTCTTTAAATAATTTTTTACTAGAGGAGCTGTAAAGTAGGTGGAATGAGAGAAGTCCGTTTCCAGCGGATTTCAAAGTATAAGGTTATGTTCTTTTGTCAATATATATAGGACGATGTTATGATGACAGGCACAAGAAAACAAAAGATCAAAGACATCCTTAAGAAGGTTACGGTATCATCTGATTCAAAATCGGTCTTTTTATTTGTAAGTCACATTTTTTATTTGTAAGTCACATTTTCGTCAAACTCTTCAATACGGGAAAAATAATCTGAATCATCAATAAGTTAATATTTTTACATAGTGATATTTTCGGGACGATCAATGGAAAACCAGTCCGTAAGCTTCCAGCACGCTGTTTTCAAACTGCGCTGTCCTAACATCAAATGTAGCTGTGGCTTGTGAAAGCTTTCCTCTTGTAGACTGGCCCTCCCTGCTCTCATGGCTCACTGTTTTGTTTCTGAATAACAAACAGAGAACCGCATCAGTGCATCGCTGCTGTCCAGATTGGTACGATTTCATGGCAAGATCTTGCGCGGGGAGAACACCATAGGAGGCCAAAACACCAAATTCGTATCTCATCAAATTTACGTGTTGTCCTTCTGCGGCCTTCTTGTGTCTCGCTCTTTCTTGAATTGAACAACTCATTTTCGACATTTCCAAATATTCAAGAGTGAGTGAAACTAAGGGAATGTTGTACTGCTTTACGACAAAGGGATGTAATATAATGATTATTTAAGAATTATCCATAACACTTTGTTTCCTAACTTT